GTATAATGTGCCCATCCTAGTGGGAAAAGTTTCATTGGTCCTTCAGACTTTCTAAAAGAAAACAAAAGCAACATTTTCAATAGATTTATTCCCAACACGTTGTTTCCAGATGTTAGAAAACAAATTTTCATTTACAACTGACCATATGGACATTGTTCGGATCAATTAATGCTAGATCACGTTCTTTCGTCTTTAAAAATCTAAGATTTCATTTTCGATCAAATTCCAAAAACGCGTTTTTCTATTCCTTTCAAGCGATACTATTTTTTTTTCATTTTCTGTTTTCTTTCATTTTGAGAAATCTCTGACGGTTAAGTATTAAATAGAAATAATAGTAACCGGTAAGATTGTTGTAAAGAAATCATTTTGAGTGACATACTAAAGCACAGATTTTTTCTTATTATAAATAAAATTTGATTATTATAATATTTGCTAATAACGACATACATTTACTTGTCAACTAAATTTATTTTTACTTAATAATTAGTAATATTGTATCATACATTGGTTAACTCCTTTTATTAATAATTAAAACAAAATATCTATATTAGATTTTTAATTGWTRTTTGCTTWTAAATGTATATAGAATTTAATTACACATTCACTTTGTGCAGACTATTTATTATTAAAAGTTACTAGGAAATAAGAAAGTTTAAGAAATAATGAAATTCTAGTAACCTGGCTAAGCCGAAATTGGTAATAGTAGTGCTCTACTTACCATCAGAATTACCGACAGTAAAAAAATTTTCACCGCAGAAAGAAAAGAATAAATGCTCTTAATTGCTCAATAATTGCTCATTTAAAATCTATAATTGCTTGACTAATTACTAATAATTTTTCTAATACGAATTACCGACCGAGATCTGATGGTAAGTTACCAACAAAATTACCGACAGTAAAAAATTATTAGATAATTAGGCGAGCAATTATATATTTTGAATGAGCAATTAAGAGCATTTATTCTTTTCTTTCTGCGGTGAAAATTTTTCTACTATCGGTAACGCGACTTACCGACCGAGATCTGATGGTAAGTTACCAACTGAATTACCGACAGTGAAAAAAATTATTAGTAAATTAGGCGAGCAATTATGGATTTTAAATGAGCTATTATTGAGCAATTAGGAGCACTTATTCTTTTTTTTCTGCGCTGAGAATTTTTTTACTGTCGGTAATTCTGATGGTAAGTAGAGCTCTACTATTACCAATTTCGGCTTAGCCAGATTACTAGAATTTCATTATTTCTTAAACTTTCTTATTTCCTAGTAACTTTTAATAACAAATAGTCTACACAAAGTGAATGCGTAATTAAATTCTATATATATTTAAAAGTAAATAACAATAAAAAATCTAATATAAAAATTGTGTTTTAATTATTAATTAAAAGAGTTTACTCGTAAAGAACGATTGTCTTGGAACAGGTACAAGAAAAAGAATTACTAGATAAAAAAATAAATCGATATCGTATTGGAACTAGAAAGACCGGAGAAAAACGGACAAACAAAAAGTCTGCAATTGATTGAAAACAAAAAACAATAGAAAACTTTATTGCTTTGCTTAGAAATGAGATAAACGTTTCTGTTTTTTTAATTATTAATAACTAATTAAATAATTAATTGATAAAATGAGCAATTACAGATTTAAAATGTGCAAATAATGTGCATAGTCATTCATATTTAAGTGAAATATTAAAGTTTAAGTATGTATTTTTAAGAAAAATTATCATTTAACCACTAAGGAACTTTTACGTAAAATATACGAACTTTCTTTACATACTGCTGATAATTTTAAAACATTTACAGATATAATATGGTTAATCTGTAACTTTTATGGTAAGTCATCCTGTTACTTTTATAATAATTATCATAAATTGATATATCTATGTTTATATTTTATTCAAGTTTGTTTTATTTCAATTATATTTCAAAAATAGAATATAAAATTATTATAATATAATAAGTCTCTTTTTTAAGATTCTTATATTGTGAAAATGTTGCTTAATAGCAAAAAATATTTTTTTTATTGATGATATATAATGTGTGATATATGTGTCTCGTATTAAACGATATGGCAAAATATCTTCGATATTATTGATTTTATAAACATATGTTTTCAATAAAAATGTTAGTTTTTTATTTAAAATCATTAGTTTTAAGTAAGTAATAATAATAATAATAATAATGATGGTTACTTACATTAATTGCTTCAAATGGTTATCCATTTTGTCAATTCATTCGAATAATCCTGTATTTGAAGTTGTTCAGCGAAGATGAAAATCTGATCAAGGATCGCACTTTGTTTTGCATTATTTCTTAAGCGACCACACACCAAAATAAATTAACTAACGAGATATTAAACTAATAATAAACTAAATCGAACAAAAAAACAAACAAAAAACAAATAATAATAATATTAATATTAATATAATAGTATTTTAAAATAACTCAGCGTAACACATATAATCGTCATTTTGAAACGATAAATTAACACAATTGATGCTTTATTATTTTCATGATATAATTAATCAAATTTTCTCGATGAATTTTGGGATTTATTAATAAACAATTATCCATCGTTTAGATATTATAAGTGGCATTACCAAAAATATCGATTAACATTAGTATCAAAAAGATAATAACATCAGTTTTAATTAGAACCCAAAATTGAGTTCTATATTTTTTTGACGAATTGCATAAATTTTGTTAATAATCAATAGTCGAATTATCATATTCGATTTATCTATCAGGATAACATACGATAATTTGACTAATTATGAAATACACCATAGCATACACCGTGCAAATCTTTTTAATATCTCGTTGAAATTATACTGTATCCTTTGGTAACGCGAATTAATTATACGGGGAAATAAACTTGTTCACTTTTTTTTTTCCTTTTTTTTTTTTTTTTAAACACTGAAACACATATAACACATTTAATTATCATATTCACAGATAATTGGAATCGCATTTTATTAACGAGAATTATATATTCGTGTATATATTCGCGATTCTAGAAACAAATACCTCCCTTCCCACCCCCACCCTCCTCCTCCCGTTTTCACATTTTCACGTTCTATTACACCGATTATTATATTCACTTTTCGTTCAAATTAAATTCACTTTTTTATATTGAAACAACGCATATAAACACATATTAAATCATTTAATTTTTGTTTTTATTTATATACATATATATATATACACACGCACTAATTCAAACGAATAATCATAATTTTACCGATTTTTTCGCAAGACTTTTCAACTAATCCGACTCTTTCCGTAGCTAACTTTTGACTAACTGAATCGAGAACAGAAAGTTTCTTCTTAAATTTGAAAAAACCATATGGAAGAGTGATATAAAGAGTATACCTAAAAAACAATAAAAAAAAACAGTGTCCTAAAAAGAAGGGATTCTCTATCGAAAATGTGTGTGTTCGAGCATTTGAATAGAGAAATTTGTATATTGTTTTTTGTTTCAACAAATGTACACGTGGTGTGACATATATTTCCTATTGTTCTTTTATTCAATCTAAAACGAAAACGGTATGTTCAACATATGTTTCCTTTTCTGAATGACTTTTCCTTTCGATTGATTAATACGTGCTGAATAGATTTTGTTCCCAAAATTACGTGATTTTACTTTACGAAATAAACAGTGAAAACACGTGTTTAGTTTTCTATTATGGTATTTTCTATTGGGTTAAAACACACGTTTTCTGTTAATATTATTTTCTAATATATAAATATTATTATATTCTT